TTCCTGCTCTGCAAAAGCCCCGACGCCCATTCGACCGAAGAACGCACCCCAGTCTCAGGATGTCAGCACCGGCAGCTCCGTCGTCGGCTCACATGCCTCCCAGGCCGGCTCAGCACCGAGCCAGAACCCGTCACCACACTCGGCAACTCCAGCACACCCAAGCCCGCACCCCTTCATCGCCCAACGGAAGGGCAGCGGTGTTCCTCCGCTGCAGCCACAGTCCGTATCTCCGCCACACGCCAAAGGCCCTAACGCAGGACCCTTTGGCATGCCTCCCGGCATCTCTCACCCGCCTGGATTTCCGATGCCACCTCCGGGTTTGGCCCACCGACCTCCGCCACACGATCCCATGTTTGCTCAGTTTGGAGGATTTCGGCCGCCCCCTGGCATGGGAATGCCTGGACCTCCAGGTCTCAACGGTATGAATGGGCCTCCGGGCAGGGGTTTCCCGATGCCGCATCCGCCCCCAGGCTTCTCTCAGCCTTTCGGCGAGCCCATGCCGCCGAATGGACCTCCTCACGTATCGCACACGCGCCAATCGTCAGGCGGCTTCGAAAGCGGCCCTTCCATGGCTTCGCAGCCCATAGGACGGCCTGCGCCGATTGGTCGACCAGGCAGCGTAGTCCACGGGCAGGGATCAGACCAGGTAGATGATGTCTCCGACCAGCACCTTGGGAGCAGCGCCTTGCTCGACGATTCGGAGGAGCCGATTCGGGCGGCCACTGCGAGACAACTACACCAGGCACCTGGACCTGGACCTCGACAGGCTTTCCCCAGCACACCGTTTGGCATGGACGCCGGCATGCACCTGCAGAGTAATCCATGGAGTAACCCGTCGCCCTTCGCCGCGTTTGGCCCGCCGCCCGGTCTTGGTGGCCCAACCTGGGGCAACCCTTTGGCAGCTATCCCGCCCATGCCGTCTCTGGCAAATCTCCGGACAGGAGGCAATCCTCGGTCTGTCGCGGTGCGACGCATGCTCTGCCGCGTTTGCAAGGAGTTGCAAGGCAGGGGAGTGGACGGCACGGACGGCTTTGCGGACTTGAATATCATCATGAGCGAGGTGGAACAGCTCAACCGCATGGAAGGCGTTAGCCGTGAGGTCATATCGGAATCGGAGATTCTAGACCTCGCAGAGACAGAGGGTACGCCACACAACGGCGGAGGCGTTTTCGATATCCGCAAGGATGTCAGGGGCCCCGGCAAACATGCGGTACGTTGGGTGCCAGACCTTGTCGGCGACATGGCACAGCCACCTCGGGCCGTGGGCGAAATTGGCAGCCCGGTCATTGGCACCGGTCATCCGGCATTCCCCATGCGAGGATCGTAGGAGCGTCCGTCCACGGGAGGTTCTGCTACGACGTGCTCCTCAGAGGAAGCAGCCGGGGGGGAGGCGCCCAGAGCGAAGACGAAACATCGGCCGCTCTTCAGGGCGATACAGTCAGCCATGCGCATGCGGCGGTACTCGAGTACGTCGGGAGACGATGAGAGCCAGGAGGCTGGGATGAAGGGCTGAAGGGCAAAGCGAGTTATGTGCATCCATGCATCTTCTACTTGGTAGCCAAGCAAACATCGAGGCCGACATGAGATCGGCGCTGCAAAGGATGCGAAGAGAGCATTCTGTGTGAGCATTGTTGTCTAGAGTAGGCAGAGCCATGTATGAGGATTCTAGTCAACACGACTGAACAACTTGTTCAAGCATTGTGAAATGGTGTACAAGGTGCTGTGGGGTGTGGTGAGACTGACGGTGGTCTGGACAACATCAACTGGCAGCGAGACTGACATAGGCAGGCAACTCGACATCTCGATTCCGAGAGGATGGTGTTATCACGACAAAGAGTTCGTGGACCCCGGCTATAGGGAACTTGATATCTCCCTGCGTGAGGAATTTGTAACAAGCAACCTAGCCGCCCGGCTAGCTCAATCGGTAGAGCGTGAGACTCTTAATCTCAAGGTTGGGGGTTCGAGCCCCCCGTTGGGCTCAATTCCTGACGCATCCGTTGGATATTCATGTTTTTGACGGGTCATTTCCGTTTTTTTTGTGCCAATCTCTCTCTCATAGTAGTCTTCCCGTCTGCACATTACTTTTGTCTAGATGCTTCTTCGTTTGCATTCATATTGATGTAAGTGGTACTCCTATTGGTGTCGTGACCGCTTGAGTAACTCGAAATCTGCAACAACCACTGAGTCGACCTTGGAAGACTCGCCGCCTTGCCGTATGAGCCAGATCCCCTCCTCCCTCTTTGCGCTTTCGATACTTTCTCTCGCTGTCGACCTCACCGTCGCCCTGATCCCGCGATATGCCCCTTGCACTGGGTATGCGACCAATCCGCCGACAGCGGCCCCCGTCTTGGCGGCCAAGCTCACAACGCCCTTTGCCAACCCCTTCGCGACCCCCATCGGGCCTTCGTCCCTCTTCCCCCGATAGGTATACGTCACAATGTCCATCGCCGCGCCGGCTATCCCGTTCCGAAACTCCTGGCCCGCAACAGCGGCCCCGCTCTTAAAGTCCCGCACATCGGCGTGCCTCTTGACGTCCTCCCCGTAGAGGCGCGGCACGGCGCGCAGCCCCTCCGTCGCGGCGAGCGGTATGCTCACCAGAACGCCCTTTGCGACGCTCGTGACAATCTTGCCGGCACGTGCTGAGGTTGCCACTGCCACAGAAGGCGACGCCTTTTCGGCCGCCGGAGATGAGGCGCCCGAGCCACGGGCAGGCGAGTGCTGCCGACTTGTGCTTGACTGACGGGCTTCCGAGATGGGCTCGTAGACGAGACGGGCCGTGGCCTGGCCCATGTCTGCGAGGGTCGAAACCGAGGCAGCCGAGATGGCGGTGATGGGGTCCCAGCGCTGGATGTCGATTGTGAACGGCTTGGTCTCGTGTCTGTGCAGGTGTGCAGGTTAGCATATCATATTGTAAAGGCAGGTAAATCAATGGAACAATGCTCACAGCTTCAGCTTCTTCTCTTCAAGCACGCCCCGGGCCATGAGAATTGCCACAGCCCTCTTCGACAGACGCACGGCGCGGTGCTCCCCCTTGTACGACCACGCCGCCGTCTCCTGCGGAAACAGCTCGCACCGCAGTCCCGCGCGCGGAAGATGCTTGTGAAACGCCTCGACAGCGACGCGCGCGCCCTGCTCGACGGACATGGTGTTTGCAATCTCAAGTGCCGCCGCTAGAGCCCGTGGGCTCAGCGCGTACGAGAGACCGTCGGCGAGCTTGCGGGAGGTGAGCGCCGCGTAGGGGATGGGTGGTGGTCCGGCGCCTGCTTCGGCGATCATGTGGCCCCAGAATGGTTGGCTGAAATGTCAGTCGTGGGTTGGCTTGTCTCGGGGCGGGTGCTTAGGGAGGGAAGACATGTCACATACTCGCCGAAAAAGGGTACGACGATTGTCGGCTTGCCGTAGCCCAACCCGCAGGCCGTGGTGCCCGCGCCACCATGGTGTACAACAGCTGCGACCTGTTGAAAGAGCCACTCGTGTGGGCATTCGCCAATGTGGAAGATATCGGGACTTGGCTCCGCATCCGTCTCGCTCGCGAGGTTTGTCCAGCCGCTGGATATGATGGCGCGTATGCCGAGAAGGCGGACTGCCTCGTGAATGATTGTGGCGATGCGATCGGCGTCGTCGACAACAATGCTGCCAAAGCCAATATATACGGGTCGCGACCCAGCATCGAGGAACTTGCGCAGCGCGGCTGGGGGGTCGTATTTCGGGGCGTCGCGGAAGACAAAGCCGCAGACGTCAATGTTGGAGCCCCAGTCGACTGGTCTCGGCACCAGCGCAGGTGAGAAGAAGTAGGCAAAGGGGATGGCGAGGCTTTCGAGAAGTCTGCAGCCTTCACTCGTTGCGATCGGCTCCAGGCACAGTGTATCCTCGCGCCATCTGTTGACGATGTCGCCGAGTCTGTGACCATTCGTTAGCTTTCCCATGATCTCTCTAGAACTATCGTCATATTCACCCTTTCCAAGTCATAAACTCGACAATGCCATACGACATGTACTTTCCAGCGGATGGCCCCTCGTCTTTGCCCTTTAGGTTGGCTAGCGGGTGCGGGAACGCCCTCGTACTCGTCCACGGCATCGTGAACATGACGTGCAATGGCACACCCAACGCCTGCGCGCAATGGACATGCGCAAACCCTGGTGGGTTGGCCACAATGGCGTCTGCCACGAATGGCGCCCCCGTTTCCGGATCAGCATCAATGCAGCTCCGCCAAAACCCGTCGAGCATCTCAGCTACCATTTTTCGCTTCGACTGAATGTCCCCCGCGCGTATGCTGCCCATGCTCGGTATCAGGCCTGGGTTCTTGACCATGTAGGCCATGAGTTCCGAGGGGTCACCGCCAACAGGGAAGAACTCGAGACCGGCAGACTGTACAAATGTGCGGAATGTATCGTGCGTAGCGAGGCGGACACGGTGGCCATGCTTCTGTAGCTCGTGGCCGAGGGCTGCAAAGGGTTGAATGTCGCCGCGGCTGCCGATGACCTGGATGAGAATATTGAGGTTGGGGGGCGGAGTGGACGTCAGGCTCAAGGGTCGAAAAGGCCTGGCATTCGCTGAGTCTTGAGAGGTCTGTGACGTGAGGATCTTGTCCAGCTGCTTGGAGGCCCGCGGGTCGATGTCGATGTCGACACGGCCGTCGCCTGGCTGCTCAGCTTTTTGTTCGGTTCAAAGTGACGTGTAACGAGTAAATGTGACTGCCTACCGTTGGTTTCATGGTCCTGGAGTGTCGGACTCAGCGAAAGGGTGTCAAAACCATCATCTTTCATGTTTGTCTTCGAATCATTCATGCTGGCGATGGGGCGCTAAATCCAAAGACCAGTTTTTCGTCGTCAAGCATGTCTTCGATGCAGAGGATTTTGGCACAAGGTTTTACCCCAGGGAGCCAAAAGTCAAATGATACAGGAGCCGGTGAGAAAACCAGAACAACGAGAACGTGCCCGTCGACACCCCAGGAATGATACAGGAGCCGGTGAGAAAATCAGAATAACTAGAACTTGCCCGTCGACCAGGTTCGGGATCACGACTGTCTATAAGGCTTAGATCGCGAGTCGGACGTCATTTTAAGACGCGAATCAACTGCTCTTCCTCGGTCTTCGGGCCGGACGCGCAACCCTGCACGGCCCTCCAGATCTGTAACAGTTCGCATGAATGTAGCGAAGGGCGTTCCAATGTTCGAGTCGTTGGCGGTGCTGTCATGCTGCGTGTCCGAATTTACGGGTAGAATACGCAAATCGTGGAGCACGATACCAGAACACAGCCCGCTGAAGCCGCTCTGGGGCCCGGCCCCGTCTGGAACTGACTCAGCGACCGCCGCCATCGCGTTCCCAGAGAAGAGAGCTCAGCTAATCAGTGATTTTGCGCATTTGATCGGGTTTGGGTCTCCACAAATTGTTGCTCTATTTCGAAGAAACGCCGAATAAATGCCAGAAGCATAGGTACGGAATCTGGTTCGACGGGGTCGACATATGGCGTCGGCAACGCCGTCCGAGGAAGGGTTCGTGAGCGTATGTAAAAAAGGAGGTTCCCCTGTTCTTTTTCGGCAGTTTGTTTTCGACTTCACTCTCAAAGATCAAACCTAGAATCATCTCCATCGCTCGCGTCCGACTTGAACATGGGGGCGCCTTCGCAATTCTTTCCAGCACCAAACCCTGATCCAACAGCCGGAACCCACATCGAACACAGTTCAGAA